GCTGATCTTGACAGGCTTACAAGGTGGGTGGATAAAAACCTGATAGCATTCAACACGGAGAAATGCAAGGTGCTCTACCTCCAGAGAAAAAAAGCCGAGCCACCAGTGTGATATCACAGCCGGCAAAGCAAACAAAACTCTGGCTTGCATCTACTGATGCATCTTCAAGCAAGACCCAGGAAGTCATCCTCCCACTGTACTTGGCCAGTTGTCCTCAGCTACAAAAATTGGCCAACTGTGGCCTCGGCTACACCACAGTCCGATGGCTGGGGAATTGGCTCCAAAGTCAGACCCAGAGAATAGTGGTTGATGGCAGCGAGTCATTATGGCATTCTGTAACCAGTGGCGTCCCCAAAGGCTCTGTCCTTGGACTGGTCCTCTTCAACATCTTTATCAATGATGTGGACTTTGGTGTCAGAAGCACACTGGCTAAGTTTGCTGATGACGCTAAACTTTGGGGCATAGCATCCACGCCTGAGGACAGGCTAGTGATCCAGGTTGACTTGGATAAGCTTAGTAAGTGGGTGGACATAAACCTGATGAACAAAACCCTGATGAACAAAACCTTGGCTTGGATCCATAGATGCTTCTCAAGTAAATCTCAGGATTTCATCCTCCCACTGTATTTGGCCTTGGTGAGGCTGCGGCTAGAGTACTGCATCCAATTCTGGACTCCACAGTTCAAGAAGGATGTCAAGAAACTTGAGAGAGTCCAGAGGAGAGCCACGTGCATGATCAGAGGGCAAGAGAACAGGCCTTAGGAAGAGAGGCTGAAATCTATGGGGCTCTTCAGTCTGGAATAGTGCAGGCTCGGAGGGGGGACGGGACCTGGTGGCTGCCTATAAGTACACAAGAGATGTTCATCAGGAACTGGGAGAATGTCTGTTCACCAGGGCACTCCAAGGGAAGACAAGGTCCAATGGTCACAAACTCCTGCAAGACTGTTTTAGGATGGGCATAAGGAAAGACTTCTTTACTGTCCAAGTTCCCAGGGCAGGGAATAGACTCCCCCCAGAGGTGGTGCAAGCACCTACTATGGACACTTCAAGAAACATTTGGATGCCTATCTAGCTAGGATCATTTGACCCTAGCTGACTTCCTGCCCCTTGGGCAGGGGGCTGGATCCGATGATCTTGTGAGGTCCCTTCCAGCCCTAATGTCTATGAAATCTATGGAATCGATGACATAACTCTATCCAGCCCACATATATTCAGATTGCTTATAAAAATGCCATGTGGGACTGCATCAGAAACCTTATTAAAGCTTAAGTATATTATACTGTATTTCTTTAATCTGCCAGACTCTTATCCTGTCCAAAGAAAGATATTAAGTTGGCTTGTCACGGTTCATTCTTAACAAATCCTTGTTGATTGCTAGTGATCACCTCTTCCTCTTTACGATTGTTTTATAATTTACTCCAGTTACTTCCCAGGTAGTGAAGGCAGGCTGACTGATCTATAATGGCTTGGTGTGTGCCATAGTGTCTTTTCTGCCTCATTTCTGGTGTTAATGATGGGCATGGGAGTGAGTAGGAAGTGTTAACTGCCTCAGTGGTGAGATTGAGCTGTTTGTTGCCACAGTGTACACATGCCACATGAGTTATATCAATAGCAAATACCTTCCAGTATTTGCTTATTATGAAAAATGTTTTAAAAACAATATTGCAAAAAAAAAAAAAAAACAGCCCCCAAAACAACAACAATTCTAATGGGAAAAGTATATTTTTCAGTCTTGTTATTTTAATTTTTTTTAAATCCCTGTGAACCTTTCCATAAAATGTATCCCCTCAGGCAAAGAGGGCGTCTGTGTTGATTTAACTTAAAGGGTGAAAATTTTAGAAATATACAGCAACTGGAAACAGAATCCAACTTTAACTTTAGCTGTCACTAGTGCTCTAATAGAGATAGTGCAATTATATACACTGAATGAAAGTGCCTGAGCCAGTTACTAATATGCCACAGGCAGATGTCATTAGTCTATAATACTGCTAGAGATAATGAGTAGCACAGAGTCATGTAGTGTAATGCCTTAATGCCTCGTGCAAACTATTTTCTTTAAGAGCATGATGTTTCTGATTCCTGCCTATTGACATCTGAGTGCACAGAAGCAGAGCTTTTGGTTTCTGACTTGTTCTTTTCTGCTAACTAGACTCAACCACCATTCTGAACCTGTCAATACAATTATTTTTAAACAAACAGCATTTTACCACTGCAAAACTACTAAAGAAAAAAATTACTTTCATGACCTAAATATAATTTTAATATTCAAATACACATCATAGTGTGAATTGGTTATGCAATGGGTTTCTACTTGACATATATATTTGAATGAAGTATTTTTTTCTATCCCTCTCAAAATTAGCCCACACACTCTAGTCTGAAAACCAATTTCCAAATAATCCTGAATTGGTTGAGAGAGGGAAGTAAAGGATCTGTGAAAATAAAACATGTAAATAGAGTAGAACACTATAGTTCTTGGAAAAGAAACCCTATTTAATAACGAAGAGAACAATTTGTTTCCCACTGAGGTTGTGGTAGCAAAAATTGTCTCAATGGAATATATGTAATGAACAAGAAAAAAGGGAAAAGTGAAGCAAAGCAAAGGCTGAATGTGGAATCCTCATAATGACTGATGAAAAAACAAAATAGGTGAATAGCCAATGGAAATACAATTTCCTACTCAGTAGCTGCATCTACACAAGATACTGACTGCACTGTAGCTTGTTACTACTGTGCAGTAGCATCACATGGCACATAAATCCATTCAGCAGTGTTACTGTGCAGTAGCTCTGGTTACTGTACAGTCATTTAGTACTTGTATATGCAAATACTAAAGGAGTGTGTAGTAACAACTGCGCAGTCAGCATCTCATGTAGACGCAGCCACTGGGCATGTCTACACGAGATGATTAACCGTGCATTAGACTAATCTAATGTCCAGTAAAGCATCAGCATCTACACATGCGTGGGACTTACTGCACTATAAATTTGCCTAATGCACCATTTGCTAGTGCAAACAAATACAGGTACTAAATTAACAGTGCATTAGCTGCTGTGCAGTAGTACATGTGTAGATGCTGACTGGGAGAAATTTTCTCCCAGTCAGCCTCAGCAGCAGAGAGCCACAAGGGGTGGCAGGGTTGGGGGGAAGCTGTCCATGGCTCTTGTGCAGAACTCAGGATTGCAGCCTGGTTCTGTAGCACTGGGGTGATGCCCCATGGCTGATTGGCAGCAGCACCCTGAGCTTTCCTCTCACTTTGCTTGTTGAGGGGAGGGAGAAGCTCTCTGTCCCTGGTCCTGGTGCTGCTCAGCTCCCTGCTCCCTCCCAGTGGGGAGCTGAGCAGTGCTGAGATGTGGGAGCCCTCTGTTCCCTCACCATCAGTCTAGGGACAGAGATCTTCCCTGTCCATTCAGTCCTGCTGCTGCCCCAGCACATGCACCAGTCAGCTCTCACCCCCGCCCCCACCCTTGCTGGGGGGAACTGGGAGCTGGGTAGTGCCAGGACTGGTGACAGAGAGCTCCTTCATCCCCTCAGCAACCAAAGTGAGGAGAGAAATCAGGGCACTGCTGCTGCTCACCCACAGGGAATCTACTGATGCCAGTGCCACCAAGCCAGGCTGCAATCCTGAGCTCCATGAAGCTGGGAGCTGTTCCCACTCTGGGACATCTCCTCCCCACTCCCTGGAGCCCAGACCTGGCCCCGGTGCCCCCTGCTAGCCCAGGGCTGGAACTGGGGGAGCCAGGAGCTCCCCCTGGCTGCTCCAGGAGGCAGAGCAGGGCAGGGGGCAGAAGCAGCCCAGGACTCAACTGCTCTTATTGGGAGCAAATCTGATCCCAACACAGGTGCATGTGTAGCTGTGTCCCTAGGCACATTTCCTGTGCCTTATTTCAATGTGCAGTAATCTTAAGGTGCATTACTTGCATGTGTAGATGCACCCACTGTTTCAAATGAAAATTTTTATTGGACTTTCTTTGTTTTTTTCAATACTGATTTCTCCTTCCTATGTTCTTGGGCCCTAAACCCGGTTTTTGGAGTTTATGCATTAAACTGTAAATGGATATGTCTACATGTCTAATAATGCAAAGCAATAAACTCAAAAGCAGTTTTAGCTGGAGTAAACTACTCCTGGGTGCAGCATCTACATGAGCTTCTGGGACAGCAGCAATTTGAGTCAGTGTGGAGCAGGCCCAGTCTGGCATGGGATATGGGAGGTCAGCCCTGGGCTCTAGGTGGTAGTGCTGGGCAACACAGGGGCTGGTTGGGGCACAAGGGTGCTGAAAAAGTGAATTTGTGTGGCTAAGCAGCAGGCAAGAGTCTGGCACTTAGCTGGCTGGGAGGACCAGGTACAATTTATGCCCACAGTCAGCATCTATACATGCATTTAATCACAGTAAATTACTCTGGCATAAAAGAGCACTGTCCCTGACAAAACTATCTTACTGAGGCATTAATTAGTTTATTGTGGCCTAATACCATTGCACATATAGATGGTGATGCTTTACTCTGCAGCTAATTAATTTACTTTGCAGTTAAGCGCATGTGTTGACACAGCCAATGGGACTGTCAATACAAGCTCCCAGGTACTTGTTTATTTTTTTCAGGAGAAAGAGAATTCTGTAAAAGTGGGAAAAATGCTTTTCTCCTTGTTTCTTTGCTTTTCCAAAACCACTATCATGAAGAGAGCCTGAAAAAGTAGAGTGACCTCAATAAAATAAACACCTATGAGGAAATTCTTACAAAAGAGGAAAAAGTTAGAAAGCGCATTAAAAATAAGAACAAAGAGACATGGAATCTGAACAAGATAAGGACAAGAAATCTGAATATCCAGGATTTCAATAAAAGAGTAAATCTAACACAAAAGTCCTACAGACTAGAATAGGAAAGATGATCCCAATTATTTTTTTGCTTGTGAAAACATATATTAAGGTTTTTTTGCCTAGGTTAGTTACAGTGGATCCACAGAAATAGCAATAGTAATTATTAACCAAGTAATAAGACAACCTGATGTAGAGCACCAACAATTTTTCGAGCTTCCTGGTAAACTGTTTCAGAGCTCCAGTGGTAATTTTGCCTCTTCAGTGCTTTAGCCAGCCGGTTATGTTCTCTCAGCCACAATGTGTGCATAGCTGCTAATGAGATTACTTCACTAGATCTGCTGTCCCCAGCCATAAAACATTCAATCCTTTCAGCTTCATTTGAACTTGGGTCTTGTGCACAGGGTGATGGGAGCTGGTTTACAAAAGGTAAATATTCCCGATCATTGTCGTAATATAGCACATTTACTCTAAGGAGGCCTTCTTCACTTGTAAAATTCCTCAGCTTTTTTTCCATAGCAGGTGTGCTTCCATAAACAGTGGAGGCATCAAGAAAGGAGGTCAAGCCATTAATCTGTTCTCTTGGATTTAATGTTGATAGATTTCCAAAGAGAATGCCATGATAACCAGTGCCACATGCAGGAGAAGAACGGTAAAAGGGCAAGCAATCCATTCCAGTGGACAGCGTATCATTGGGAAATATCTGTGCAATAAAAATGGACATTCTTGTCAGCGAAAACAATGTTGCTCAAATAGCAATACATGGAATATGCAGTAATTCTAAATTAGTAATTCATACTAAATCCCAGTTTTCAATTGTTTGGCCCTTTTTTCCAACCTCCCACCTCCTGGATTGAAATTTTCCAGGCTAAGTCTTGGTTTGAAACTGAGAATGTTGGGTTTTCCTTAAGTTGTTAAAAAAGTTCAGCTGTTTTGAGGAAAGGAAAACAAAACAGTATTTTTTTCTCATTATAAAAGCTATTTACTTCCATCCATTTTGAACAGCTCTGCAAATGAATTATTTTAGGGGGTTGAAAACTGAAACAGAAGTGCAAGTGAGTCCTGGAAGCTGTTTTGGTGAAATTCATTTTGCTATGATCAAACCAGGAGCCATCAGATATGATGTGCTAAACAGGTTTCTGAAAATATGTGAGGTCTGGGACAAGACTGAGAAAAATATTTGCCTCAGTGCACAGAGCATATGGAGAGGCAGAGGAGACTGACCCAGTAAGAACCTGAGTCAAAGCTAATTGAAATCAATGTGAAGAAGCAGAGGTGTCAATATACATTTATTTCATTGAGCTTTTGGGTTACTAAAAATGCATATTAGTAAGCAGAATATGAACTGTGGGTGTTTCTCTACTTCCAACCTCCTAAGATGAATGCTGGAAACATTTATGTCCTATAGGCCTCTCTAAATCAGCAGGGAGGAAAACAGATGATTTTTTTTATACTGTAGGTGGGCCAAGAGAGCAGCTTAGAGCCAACAATTCATTTTAAAGCAATAAAATTAATAACTAACTTGAAAAAACCAGGTTTTTATGTATATAACATATTTGCCTTGTTCAATACACGCTCTCTGTCACTAGTCCTGCAGTACATTTCTGTACTGCACTTTTCTGAAAACCCCATTATTTCCAAATTCTACCAATACATCATTACATATCAGTGTAATGAGCCATGTTGAACCACAACGACTCAAGCCCAGGAGTTTCAAAAAAGGAATTTTCCAGTGAAAATGGCTGTTGACATTATAATTTGAGTACAAAGAAAATGCAATTATAATCTTTGAGATTTCTTAACCATTGATCTTTCAAAAATTGTTAAATAGATATAAGTTCCCCATACTGGAGCTCCTGAAACATCCACTGAATCATAGAAACATAGAGAAGTAGGACTGGAAGGGACCTCCAGAGATCATCTAGTCCAACCCCCTGCTTGAGGCAGGATCACCCCTATCCCAACCATCTATACAAAACATAATCTGAACTCTATGTAAGACTACCTCACAACACAGGCCTAACACCCTAACCTGCCACAAGTAAAGCAGGGGAACCACAGAAGTCAAAGTCTGGCAGACCTGTTGTGCCATTTTACAGGACTGGCAGACCTGTATAATGAAGCTCTTTTCCTTTTCATGGGATAAGTAGTCTGCAGCCAGCAGCTGAATGTGCAAATGAGAGTTTCCGATGTTATTTTTCATGTGACATCAAACATGACCTAGGAAAAAATCCTGTTTTGTGAAGATGAGTACACCATTGCATTTTTCTCTACACCTAATGAAAAGCATTCATATAAATACATTCCTTTGTACAGCATAGTCCAAGGGAAAAACCCCATGTTGTAGCTTTCCTGGTTTAGTTGTACACAGGCTTAAAATTATATTATAAATGGAAATGACTTACAGAGATATTCTTTTCAAATGCAGCAGAATGAAAGACACTAATTGCTTCAATGCATTGCAATGTCTAAACTGCAGTTTCTTTAGGGTATATACTTCCCTTTAGTGAAACTATTTTGGGAGAAATGGTTACATGTTAAGATTTTGTTGAAGATTTCTAAAATGAAGTAAGGGTTTGTGAAAACAAGGATAGCATACTGATAGCCATATTGGTAGCAAGGAAAAATTAAGTCCTGCATTTTTGTAGAGGAAATTTTAGCAGCAACGAAGTCCAAGGTTCAGAAGACCTGAGTTGTATGTCAACTTCAACATCTGCAATACTGGATGTCACTCACCACTCTGTGCCTTCATTTCCCCTTCCGTCATTTTTATGTCTTATCTTTCTAGAATGTAAACTTTTCTCTTGCTATATAACTGCATGGTGTATGATGTCAGCTGGGGTTTCTAAAAGCTGGTGACCTCATGCTAAGAGTTCACTTGATTTTAAAACAATTAAAAATAATTACTACAATTAATAATAAATAAGGACAGCAACAGTATGGCATAGAAGCTCTTTCAATCAGGTGTGGATTCTGAGGGTGGTGTGGTGTGGTCAAACCCCCCTTCTGCAGTGTAGCTCACTAGCTCTGTTTCCCCATAGTTTTGGTCCCCTGTAGAGTTGGGACTACTTTATAGGAGCAGCAGCTTTTTAAGCCCATGAAGCAGGTACGATTCACACTACTTGGCACCCTGTCTGTGCTTTCCTCCCATTCTCCCTCCCTCCTCTACTTATGCCTCCAGGTGCAGGAAGGGCAGACTTGCTCACTGCTACTGCTGTCTCCAGCTGACCCAGGGGTGAAGGGAAGCTCCAGAGCCACTCCAGCTGGGGCTGTGGGGAGTGGCTGTGCAGGGAGCACAGCTCAGCAGAGTATAGCAGCAGCGGCAGTGGCAGCATGGGAAACCCACAAACCCCACCCACCAAATCACTGTCCCTGTCCCTGTCCCTGGCCAAGCCCAGCACCCAGAGCAGCTGCTCTCCACAGCTTCCCTGGGTCAGGGCAGGAGTGCATGGGGCAATAACGGTGGTGGGCAAGTCTCTCCTTCCTGCACTCAGAGGCATAAGTAGAAGAGTTTGTGCTGGAGTTTATTGTGTCACATTAATTTCACATGTTGATGCACCCAGTGACATCTTCTTCCTAATCTTGTATAAGAAATATAATATTATTTCCATAGCACTCATCTTGATTACTTTAGATAACACACAGAACTCTGAATATGCTACCCAACTGTGCAGGATAACATAAAAAATGAGAAACCATCTTCTTCACCTAACCTACTCCAAAAGAGACAAACTTAAACAGGGCATACTAGTTTATGCTACTAAACTTAATATTAACCTGGAAACATACTTGGGTAGCAGGCCCCCTTCCCCTCCCCTGATGATAGCCAACTGATAGATGAGGAAAAAGTGAAATGAGATATCTCAACAAGAGCCACTTCACAGGCAGCATACTAGCAACACAGGATAGAATCCAAACAGCAGCACCCAGAATAACATCTTCAATGACGTCATAACATTCCCTATTCAAAGGCCTAAAATTCTACCCAGAGAAACAATCTAGCAAGATACTAATATGTGGAGAATTAGGAGAAATCCTTTGCAGGTTTGCCTGAAAGAATAATTCCACAGTCAGGACACTATCCCTTCTGACAATCTTTCTTCCACAACAGATAAAAAACAAACAAACAAAAAACCCCCCAACACCCCCCCCCCGCCCCTCTCTCCCTGCTCCCAAAAAAAGGCTGGCTGGACACGTCCCAGTGGATGAAACAACATATTGGACTGCTACAATGACCATTTCAGGAAGAAAGCTAAGAGTGAAATTCTCAACAAAAGCCAGGACCACCACAACCTCTTTTCCTCAGTTAGGAAAGACATGCAGTTCCTAAGATCCAACAACAAAATAGTAATCAAACAAGTGGGCAGAGGAGCTATTGTCATACTCAGTCATGAAGACTATACCATCTGCTCTAAGGAAAAGACTCATGGGATATATCCAGATGAGCAGGCATGTGCAGTTTGTGGTACTACAAACCACTTTGTGGTGCCACAGACTACTTGCCTGACATGTTAAAATGTGCCCTGCACTGCAAATTTGCATCGCAGGGGTGTGGCAGAAAGCCACCTTGGTTTCTCCCTAAAAATCTCTGCCCTGTGATACTGTGATT